TAAGATACCAATTTTATAGATATCAAGGTGGCTCTAATAAACTAAGTGGGGGGCGCCTGGGTGGCTTAGTCGGTTAAGCGTCCGACTTTCGCTTAGGTCATGATCTCACGGTTCGTGGGTTCCAGCCCCGAGTCGGGCTCTGTGCTGACTGCCAGCTCAGAGCCTGGAGCCTATTTCAGAGTCTGTATCTCCCTCTCTCTCTGACCCTCCCCTGCTCATGCTGTCTCTCTCTCCTAGAAATAAATAAAAATATTTAAAAAAAATAAATAAATAAACTAAGTGAATAGCTTGTTGCATTGGCTAAGATGAGGAGAAACTAGGAACTGCATATATTCCCGTGGTATGGGTTCCTACATTTCTCTAGTTTTGCAGATACAAGTGTATTCACATTCTGAAGCTTATTATTTCTAAAAACAAAAGGAGAAGAACTGGATGGATTTGGTATATCTCATATATTGGAATATTATACAGCCATAAAACATTAATCAACATAAATAAACCTTGAGAACATTATGGTAATATAAGAACCCATATATTGTATTATTTCATTTACATAAAATGTCTCAAATAAGGAAATTCATAGAGATGGAAAGTACATTTGTGGTTGCTGGAGGCTGAGGGAAAAGCAAAATGGGGAGTAATTGCTAACGTGTACAGGGTTTCTTTCTGGGGCTGATGAAAATATTCTGGAATTAGATAGTGGTGATGATTGTACATCTTAGTCAAGGTACTAAATGGCATTGAATTGTGCTATTTTAAATAGTGAAATTATGGCGTGTGAATTATATCTCAACAAACCTTTTTAAAAATGCTGAAGCCCTTACAATGATCAAGAAGTACCTATGCAATTTGCTCTCTTGTTCCTCTCTGAGCTCATCTGCTGCTTTCCTCCTTTTGGCTCATTCCTGTCCAGGCACATGGCTTCCTTGGTGTTCTTCAAATACATTATGTATTCTGGTTTAGTGCCCTTGCCTGGAATATTATTTTCCTACATATTCACACACTTCCCCCCTCATTGTTCAAGTTCCAAAATCTCAGGACTTTCCCGATCACACTATTTAAAAAATGCCTATCCTATCTTTCTCTATCCGTGTTACCAGGCTTGTTTTAACAACATATTGTTGCAAATACTGTGCTAGGTGTTCTGTGTTGTTAATCTTATTTGGTCCTCATAGCAACCCTATGAATTAGAGACTTATTATTATTATAATGAGTATTACTATTATTATCAACTGCATAGATGAGGATGGGGGTATCAGAGAGGTTAAAGTAACTTGCCCAAGGTTGCACAGCTAAAAAATGGTCTTGTCTTTTATTTTCAATTTTAAGTAGGTTTCATGCCCAACATGGGACTTGAACTCAAAACCCTGAGGTCAAGAGTCACATGCTATACCAACTGAACCAGCCAGGAGTCCCCAAGAAGTGGTCTTTTAAATCTCAAAAGTCTGAATTCAAACGAGGTCTTTCTAACAATAAAGCCTGTGTGTGCATGTCTTTGTGTCTATGTGGGATGGCAAATACTAGTATACAGGGCCATTGACTCAAATATGTTAGCGAAAAAAACTTTATCTGGTGACTGTTTTATTTATTTTATTAATATTTATTTATTTTTGAGAGAGAGGGAGCGGGGGAGGGGCAGAGAGAGAGGAGACACAGAATTCGAACCAGGCTCCAGGCACCAAGCCGTCAGCCCAGAGCCTGAAATGGGGCTCGAACCCACAAACCATGAGATCATGATCTGAGCCGAAGTTGGACACTTAACTGAGCCACCCAGGCACCTCTATCTGGTAACTGTTTTAATCAAAACAACAATAAAAATATTGCAGGAATAAGTGAGTCATTTTCTGTGTGCTCCTTTCCATATGATGAAAAGAGTAGCTTTAATAGTTCTGCTTTCATGACTTGTTGAAACTCAAGGAGTTTCACTTTCTTATTACTTAGTATTGGTGTGTCGACAAACTCACTCAAAAGTCAATGATATATTCTTAGCTTTTAAAAAACTGTAACTTTCTTTTGAACACTTCCAGGTGTTGTTATTTTTGTTTGTTTGTTTGTTTTTTGTTTTTGTTTTGCTCTGATGCTGCCAGGACATAGCATGAAGCTCTTTTCTCAGTTATGTCGGTTTTGAAGGGGTCAGTTCAACCTTCTGAAACACTGCCTGATGATTTTGGCACAAAAAATGAGAAGATGGTGTGCAGGGAGGCAGATTTGCCCATTATCAGCTGCAAGTCATAAGTGCTGTTTGGCAGAGATAAGAAATTTAAACACCTCCCAAGGTATAGGTACTTCCAAAGTATTGCTTTGTTTATTATAAGTCAAACTTGTTCATTTAGTGACACAAGAGAGATTTGAAGACAGCTTTCCCAATACACTTTTAACAGAAAGGCAACTCACGCACATATCTCTAACTGATTAGTTGTTCTTATAATCTCTTACTTACACTTTCTATTCATCCAGTCTTGATTTCCTGTCAGAAATCTTCTACAGCTTGTTCTCCACTTCCAGATGTAACATATTTCTCTCTCTAGAGAGAACCTTGTCTAACTTCTTCCTGAGGTAATCAAAAGGGAAGACATTAGTTCACCTGTCTAATTTTCTCTTGCAGCTAAAAAGGTCCCTGCCTTTCCCCAATAAATTTCTCTCTCTCAGCAAAAGTCACATCTCATTGCTTGTTCTTCTCTACCTCTTCTTAGTCCCTAATGAAAATGATCAAACTCCAATAAGTATTAGGTTTGCAGTTTCACTCCTTTTTTCCCTTCCTTTTGAGGAATCATGTTTGTTTCCCCCCTCTAGTGTTTGACTTTATCTGCTCACCATATCTTGTTAGTTAGTTATTAGTCCCTTCATGCTTTAGGTTAAATGAAGAGTATTAGAAAGGCCAGAAATAAAACTTACAAAAGAATTTGTTCAAGATTAAATCGGTGATGTTACAGCAAAAGTTGCACAACACCGTATATTCCCTTTCTATAAAGTTCTGTTGGCATTCCCACACTTATTATTTTCATTTTCACTTACAATAGTCTTCTGTTGGTTTTTGTTGTTGACCAATTAGGTATTAATTTTTTACTCACAGAGTGAAATAGAATGGATCAAACTGAGGATCTTCCTGTCAGGATTTCTCTGGAAACAGTGGTGGAGTGAATCAATGTTGAAATGAATTTGGGGGCTTTTTACTAGTCACAAGTAACCAACTGTAGCATTTTCTGTATCCAAAATTGGATTGGTTCATTGTCATTTTGACACAATGACAACGACCCTGAGTCTTGAAATACAAATGACCAATGAACATAGGAAACATATTCAACCTCATCTCTAACAAGACAAATTCATTTTAAGACAACAGAACCTATTGTTTTTAGTCTATCATATTCCCATAAATTATTTTAAAAATATACAGTCATTATTGGTACAGACATAAATGAATGAACACTCATACAATAAGTATAGATGTTAGAGAGTGAATTGACAGGTTTTTTTCTTTTTTAGCTGACATGTATTCAGTGTCAACTACATGCCAAATATTATGATAGAAGCTTAACATGCATCATCTCATTTCATTCTCAAACCAGCTTCGTGGGGTAGGCACTCTTGTAATCTCCATTTCACAGATGAGAAAATTGAAACTGAGAGATGCAAAGTAACAAATCCCACACAACCGTGAGTAGCAGACTTAAATAAATGTCTGCTGGATTCTAGAACCAATGCAAGTACCTCATTGAGTGTTGGGATTACAGGTGCTTTTTTTTTTAAATATTTTTATTTATTTCTAGGAGAGAGAGAGAGAGAGAGAGAGAGAGAGACAGCGCGAGCAGGGGAGGGTCAGAGAGAGAGGGAGACACAGACTCTGAAATAGGCTCCAGGCTCNATGTTTTAAAAATGGAGGGAAAATCCAGTATTTGGATATAAAAACATCATATAAAGCAAAATTCTTTGGAAGAATATATCAGAATCCAAAATCTGTCATTTACATTGTCCAGGATACAAACTAAATTTTTTTAAATTTTTTTTAACGTTTTATTTATTTCTAGGAGAGAGAGAGAGAGAGACAGCTTGAGCAGGGGAGGGTCAGAGAGAGAGGGAGTCACAGACTTGAAACAGGCTCCAGGCTCTGAGCTGGCAGTCAGCACAGAGCCCGACACGGGGCTCGAACCCACGAATCGCGAGATCATGACCTAAGCGAAAGTCGGACGCTTAACCGACTAAGCCACCCAGGAGCCCCTACAGGTGCTTTTTAAATTTTTTCTCTACCTGCCTCATGTATTTAAAAACAATGAGCCTTATAATTTTTATAATCCAAAAATACAGTACACATTTGCTGGTTTCTTAAAGAGTTTTAAAGGAATTGGATTTGCTCTGTTTGTGAGGTCAACTTTGGAAGCTGCATGTGATTATTCAGGAGTAGGGTACATTGACAGATAAATGGGTCCTGATCTACTTATCAAGACATGTAATTGTAACTTCCATAGGGTCATCATTTCTGGCCCTCAGTACCTACACAGTCATGAAGGACTTCTTGCTTCATCAGAAGACTTTCTATGTGGAAGTCTTACTTAGCACTCAAGTAATTTTCCTCTCTGCCCACTAACATTCATATCTCTGAAGATTGGGTAATGATATATCTCATACAAAAAGCATTGAGAGAAACAATGTCCATTTTGCAACTTTGTTCTTAACATCTATAAAATAGAATCTTAGAATATTGAAATATTTCTCATTCAGTAAAATGACATATAACTACACAGGATTAAAATGTACTAATTATTATTTTGTTTTATAAATGCTCCCACAAGATTGTCTTGCATAATTTATTATGTAAATAAATAGCACTGTAAATGTTTAACATATCTTTTTCAGTGGGAGGTGTTCTTTATCACATGCCTGTTGGAAATAGAAAGAAATGCATTTGGAACCAATGGTCTTATGAAAATATTGTTTTCTATTTATACATTGTTATTTTTATAAGTCAGTGTCAAGCTGTCAGATGAACTTCCATGGGATATTCATGTCCTTTTTAGGGTTCTTTCTTTCTTTAGGGCATCTTTCACATCTTTGTTCCTCAAGGTGTAAGAGAGGGGGTTCAACATAGAAGTTACAATAGCATAAAATGCAGAGATGACTTTACCCTGGTCCTGGGACTCCCTTGATTGAGGTTTCAGGTACATATAGATGGCTGTTCCATAAAGTATGGTGACCACAGTCAGATGGGATCCATAGGTGGAAAAAGCGTTGAGCCTGGCCTCTGCAGAGCAGATCCTTAGCATGGGAACCACAATGTGAGTATAGGATATGAGAATGAAGGTCAAAGGTAGGGGCTGTGTGAATATGCCTATGACTGAGGTGTCTGAGCAGGTGAGCTTCAATAGGGCCTGGACCTCACAGGTAAAATGATTGATGACATTGCTTCCACAAAAATGGGTAGGAATTACAGTGATCAGTATTATTTCCAAAAGAAAGGCACTGGACCAGGTCACCATGGCCAACTGTACGCAGACCTGATTTTTCATAATGATGGTGTAATGCAGGGAATTTGATACTGCAATGACTCTATCATAAGCCATGACATCAAGGAGGAGACACTCTGTCATCCCCAGAAAAATAGCGATAGTCATCTAACCATAACAGCTAGTATAAGAAATGGTGGTGTAGTCTTTTAAACCATTGAACAACAAAAAAGGCACTGAATTACTAGAGTAACAGATATCAAGGAGGGACAGGTTACTTAGGGAAAAATACATAGAGAAACAGATATCAAGGAAGAACAGGTTACGTAGGGAAGAATACATAGGGGTGTGAGGCTGGTCATCAACTCTAACCATGACAATGATTAGACTATTACTCACCAATGTGATCAGGCAGACGACTACCATGGTGCAATAAAAGGCAACCTGGGATTTGGGATAGTTGGACAAACACACCAAGATGAATTCTGTCATTTCACTACCACTATCAGTACCCAAAATAGCCATTTTCTTCTATCTGCTGAGAAAGAAGAAATTAAATTCATTTTAATTTGAGGAACATTTATTGAGCATCTGCTGTCCTCAGTCCTAAATCAGATGATATTAGGAAAAGATGTTTACAAAAGAAGGGATACTGTGAAAGCTTATGTTCTAATTTGGGAGATAAAACTCTCAGACACATCACAAGATTAATTTGCAAGTAGCACAATCCATTGTAAGTTTTAATTCCCTCATCTACAGAATGAGCACCTGAAACTTGCTTTGAACCTCCCCCTTAAAGAAAATGTGCCAATTCACTGCTCAAATGTAATTAGATTTGAATCATAAAATTGCTAATTGTTTTTCCCCTGCTATAGACATTAACCTGAAATTTGTTTTTAGGTGTTTCATATCCATGACATAAAATTGTGCCCAGTTCACTCTCGTTTCTTCCTCATCTTGCACTTCCAATTACTGAGTCCTATTGGCTCCTCCTCCTAAATATATTTTAAATCTACCTATAACTCTCCGTATCCACAGCCGACATTTATCTAGTCAGCCACCATCACTTACCAGATCTCCCTACCTCTATTCTTGTCTCACTATAGTCTATTCTTTATCCAGCAGCCAGGGAGAACTTTTACAAACATATATAATTATCATTATATCTTTCCCATGCTTAAAGCCACTCTAGGGTTTCTAATTAGATTTGGAAAGAATCATACCTATTTGCCATGACCTACAAGACTCTACATGATCTGTCCCTAATCTTATCTTACACTGTGGCTTCATGTGTTCACCATGTTCCAGCCATACTGTCTTTATGAAGCATTCCAAGCTCAGTCACACCTCAGAGCTTTTGCACATTGTGTTCTCTCTGCTGGAAATATTCTTCATACCCTCTTTGACTGGTGAAGTCGTACTCATCCTTCATATCTCAGCCTAAAAGAAATTTCATTAGACAAACCTTCTCTAACCTCATTAAAACTAAATCAGATCTCTTTGTCGCAATTGTTCATAACACTCCAAACTTTTCCTGCATGGATCTTATTATAGTTTGCATTTATATATTTATGTAATTATTTAGTTTCTGCTTCCTTACTAAATTTTAAGCTTTCAGAGGAAAGAATCCCTGACTGTCCCATGGACTACCTTATTTTTACCACCTCACACAGTGCCTGGTGCAAACCCACAATATATGCGTTCAGTACAGATTTGGTGAATGGATCAAGGCCAGTTGTTTGGCTTTTCTGTCTTACCTGATGCCATGACACTGATTTGACTGAGACTACATTGAATTGGCTGAAGGAAAGAAATGCTTGAGGGTAAAAATCCATGATGAGAAACATTATTTCATAGTATTCAGTCTTACTAATTGTTTGTTGCTCAGAAATTAACTTTAGTATTTTTTTAACCCTACAATTGCTCTTTGCTTGGAAGTAAGATGTTATAGCAAAAAGAGAAAGTGGGTTATTATACTAGAATCTGAATAAAAAGTGATTTCATACTTTTTTGTCCACTCAAATTTTTATTTACTTTGTTTGTTTTAATTCTATCAAGTATGAGTGCTATCACAGACCAGCTCATTATTAAGGTCAAGATATTTTGTTTTGTTTTGTTTTGTTTTGTTTTTGATTGTCTATAAGATTCCCATCATGTTCTAGTCACAAATCAGAATTTGGGGTCATTTATAAGAGGATCCAGTTTCAGACTCATGAGGCAGGCGTCATGGCTTAGTGAGTGCAGGCCGTGGATAGGAAGGTTTGTCTTAGGAGCTAGTCGGCAAGAAAGGCCATCAAGACTCACAATGTAGGCAATCTCTTCAGATTCTCTTTCTAGAACAGATTCCAGATCTCAGAAGGTATGAGACCCTTATGGACAAGTAATTCAGGGAGTAGAGTAAGGCTTTGTAACAGGATCCTCAGTATAACCTAATACAGGATAAGGAAGCTCTGAATAGAAATAAAGACCAAGGGCAGTCAGAGTGAAAAAGTATTTAGGTGCTGCTAAATTTCTAACTACAGCTGCTTATTTATTACAGGCTGATCCTATAAGGAGGCTCTTCACTACCTCTAATGATAATTAGAAGGCTCCTTTATGTTCTGTGTGCTCCCAGAATTAGGATCAGAAAACAGAATGAATCTGAAAAGAAAAAGTCTTCTTGGAGTAGAGTTATGAGGCCGAGGCGGAAGTCAGGTGATTTTGTCTTTGTGCAGTGGTGATACCACAGCCATAATTTCCTAGTAGCATTACAAGGAAAGGATTTTCAGGGCATGACCTTTTTCAAGGGGCACTAGATCTTCACACTAGAATGACAACATGATTAATCATGAAGCCTTATTTTGATTTACAATCCTCATCATCTTATAGTCCTGACGATCTCAGAACAAATGCCAGTATGAATAGCTGGAAAACAAAAACACATTTTTGTGCTTATGTGATTGGAGTAAATCTCACCAGACCAACCACATATATCTTTTAGTTGAATAATTCAGTGTTTTAGTTAATTTGTGAGGACCAAAATCTTCCTAAATTAAATAGACATATGTGGAGATACACATATAGTCACTGGGTTTTGATCTTTCAGAAGTATTTGGGGGCACGCTTCAAGGCTTTTTTTTTTTTTTTTCTCACACGGATTTCCCAAAGAAGTTCTCCTACCATGCAAGAGCATACTTCCCAGGAGGATTCATCCTATTTTTAGTACTAAAATTAAGAGACTCTTGGAACATCTTCCTTGTTTTCTGAGCTTTTTAGAAGGCTCCCAGAAGCTCAAAATGTACTTAATGGAAAGGGTAGTACTTACAGACAGGAATTTATATTAACCACACCAGGCAGTGTAGAGTGACGGTTAACAGCATGAGTTCTGAATCAAAGTTTGAATCCTGGATCCATCACTGATTCACTGTGTAAAATTGGTAATTTGCTTAACTTGTTTACACCTTAGTTTCATCAGTTGTAAAATTGGGACAATGATAGTATCTATCTCAAAGGATTTTTGTGCTATATACATATTAGCTATTATTATTTTAAAATAAGGCCTCACTTGGGAAGTAGCACCCATGACAATGTGGCCACATTGGTTGTCTTTATTTTTTCTGGAGGGTGGAAAATAATTCAGTAAATGAGGAGAGAAATAAGACTATATGGTCATATTATAGTGTGAGCCATGTGGGGACAGAATTTGCATTTTATTTCTTTAACTCCAGTACTTGGCTCAGTTTCTGACACATGGGAGGAGCTTAATGAATATTTATGAAGTTGAACTAATTTCACTCACCTGAATAGCAAAAAACAAAACAGAAAAAAACAACCCATAAAAACAGAAACAACAGCACTAAGGTCTCTAAGAGTTGTGTTGATATAGCCCCTTATGTGTTGCATGATCATCAACTCACTGAAGTGCTGGAGTCTTTCAGGGGGAGTGAGTTACAGGTGCATCCTGAGATCCATGTTAAGACTGACCATTCCACATGTATATGTTTCAAGAGACAAAAATGACTTCCTTCCTTCTTGCCAGGGTATATGTTCTTTACTTGCTCTTACAGTGGATTGTGTCTTGATTCCGCTCAGTCTTTTGGAATCCAGGGCTCCAAATCAAAGTATAAACAAGAAGAGTAAAGATTATTAAACATTATCAGCTGCTACCTTCTGAGTTTATTCATTACGGTTCCAAAGAAGTGAGTTCACTGAAGAGACTTCAGGTACCAAGTCCCTAAAAGGAAATTAAATCCAACTACTAAATTGAAGTCGTATATTTATTTGGGAGTGCTATTTCTAAGTCATTAAAATACAAGTATTGGAAAAGCTAGGAACCAAGATGATGGAGTAAGGGGATCCGTACTTCCTGCCCACATCTCTCAAACAAAGAAAGGCTGAAGCCAAAAGACTCTGAACCTCGTCTGGGAGGAAAGGAGACGGAGTCTACTAGGAAGGCAGCCTCATAGGTGCATGATTGCGAACTGGGGGAGATAAAAACGGGCTGGGACACGGAGGCCTAGAGGGGAGGGATCGCCTTCTGCGGAGAGACAAAGGGAAGAGAAAGAGGAGCTAGGGAAATGTAGGGCTGTATCTGGACAAGAGAAAAACCTCGGCCTGGGAAAGAGAGAAACCCACCACCATGCTGGGGGACAAAAGAAGTTCCCTCCAGGTTAAGAGGTACCCCAGGGGCACAGTCGGTATCAGGAGGAACCGATCCCCTGCCCTGTAATGCCTCGCTTGAACGATGACATTTCGGGCAGCATCATTAATGTACACAGAGTGAGAGCTTGGAATGCAGCTGGGCTTGCAGCATAAGAGACAGCCCATCTTGGCTGTGCCCACAGCACAGTGAGAATGGATCCAAAGGAGTGATTTGGGACACCTGGTTCGAGGAGAAGGGACTGGAGGGTTCACCGTTTTTCTCCTCACAACCACCTCAGTGGGGCATCAGGGATCAGCCCTTGGGACCCACAGTAGAGGCGGGACCTGTCTACACCAAACCATGCCCATCTGTGCTGAGTAGCTGCTGGGAGCCAGTAGATGTTGTAGAAATAGACGGCCCCTCCCCCAAGACCACTGCTGCAGCTTTGCCGTGATTAACTCTAGATCAATTCTTGCTATTCAGATATATTCTCCCTTATCTCATTCTTATCTCTCCCCTGGTTATTCCGGTTATAGGTTTGCTTAAACAGACATGTTTAGTCCATCCTCTTGATGCATGTTCTACACCTCCTTCTTTACCTTCCTTCATCTCTCTCTAGAATAATCAGACTATATAGTCTCTCTGGGTAACATTATCTTCGTTTCTTTCTCCTCACTTCCTGCCATACTCTCCTTTTTCTCTCTCTGGATTAAGCCTTTTAGTCTAGTCTCTCTGCCTGGTGAATGTTCATTTTCTCTTTCTTCCCATCCCTGTCATTTCTCTCTTGGTATATGCTCTTCTATCA